CACACACACACACACACACACACACACACACACACACACACACACACTTTCTTTAGATCACTTGCTAATCCTTTTGGCCGGATCGGCTTTTTAGCAGCAGTGTACAGATGGTCTCTGTTATAAGACACCTATAAGTTATTTTCTATCATTATGGAGCTAGGTTTTTCTTTCTTAGCCGAAAAAAAAAAAAAGTACTTAAAAAAGCAGCTGTGTGTGGTGGTACACACCTTTAATCCCAGCATTTAGGAGTCTCAGGTGGGTCTCTGTGAGTTCAAGGCCAGTCTGGTCTACAGAGTAGGTTCCAGGACAGCCAAGGCTACCCAGATAAACCTTAATTCGAGAAACAAACAAACAAAAAGTATTTAAAATAATACCTTGAGAATGAATATTGATGTACTTACAAATCCTGATTAAGAAAATTTATGATGCGCTCGCGATAACTGCGCAGACGCAGCCGACGCTTGCCTTTTCCGAGCAGCCCCAGAGATGGCTGAAGTGAAGCAGAAGCCGCAGACCTTCCGCAAGTTCACTGACCGTGGCGTGGACCTGGACCAGCTGCTGGACAGGTCCTATGAACAGCTGCTGCAGCTGTACAGCGCCCGCCAGAGGCGGCGCCCGAACCGGGGCCCGCGGAAGCAGCACTCTCTTCTCAAGCGCTTGAGGAAGGCCAAGGGGGAGGCTCCGCCCATGGAGAAGCACCTGAGGGACAGGATCGTGGGCAGCATGCTGGGCGGGTACAAAAGCAAGACCTTCCGCCAGGTGGAGATCAAGCCGGAGATGATTGGCCACCACTCCCTAGGCGAGTTCTCCATCACCTACAAGCCGGTGAAGCGGCGCCCGGCTGGCATCGGCGCCACCCACTCCTCCCCCTCACCCCCCTCAAGTAGCCGCGGCCAATAAAGACTCGTGTTTAGTCCCTGAAAAAAAAAAAAGAAAGGAAGGAAGGAAGGAAGGAAGGAAGGAAGGAAGGAAGGAAGGAAGGAAGGAATTGGAAGGAAGGAAGGAAGGAAGGAAGGAAGGAAGGAAGGAAGGAAGGAAGGAAGGAAGGAAAGAAAGAAAGAAAAGAAAACTTGAGATCCTTTCACTATATTTTTATTAACTTGCTCCGTGCGTGCTGTGAAGATCAGAGTAGTCTGTGCGTGTGTTCTCTTTCCACCGTGGGAGTCCGGAACTCTGGTCATCAGCCTTCACAACATGTGTCCTTCAGCCACTGACCCATCTCACCGGCCCAGGGAAGAGTATTTTACTACCAGCTTTGTGCTCTGGGCTAGGCCAGTTATTATCTGCTTATAGGAGACAGAGTTTCTCTGTGTAGCCCTGGGCTGTCCTGGAACTCGCTGTGTAGGCCAGGCAGCCTCTGCCTCCCAAGTGCTGCAATTAAAGGCTTGCGCCACCACACCTGGCTTGGCAGGGATGCTCTTAATTTTTAGTTATGAAATTTGTTTTGTTCCAGGCACCGGCATATGTTTGTCAAAGAAATTGACATGGACCAGGTTATGAAGGTAAGAGGAAGCTTTTCCTATCAGGTGTCTTTCCTCGTGTGACCCCGAGAGCAGATTCAGCCTGGTTTTGCTCCTCAGGCTAAGTCCATCCGAGAGTTTGATAAGCGGTTCACCTCGGTCATGTTTGGATACCGAACAATCGACGACTATTACGCCGATGCCAGCCCCAGCCGCAGACTGAAGTCAGTGGGGATCCCAGTGCTGTGCCTGAACGCCGTGGATGATGTGTTCTCGCCCAGCCATGGTAAGAGCAGCCGTCTGCTCCCTTGGTGGGACACAGCTTTCTTTTTTAAAGACTTAGCTTTACCTCTGTCGGTGTGCATACAGGCCGGCATGTGTTGGCACTTAGAGGCCAGAAGTGGGCGACAGATGCCCTGGAGCTGGAACTGCAGCTTGTTAGCTGCCAGACAGAGGTGCTGGGAACTGAACCAGGGCCCTCTGGGCCAGCAGCAAGCACCCTTAACTGCTGAGCCAGCTCCCTGGCTCCTGGTTTAACTTTTGAAATACTGCTGTTGTTTCCTTTTAAGGAAATAGGATAATAGAAACGTGAAGGCTGCTCTTCTTTTACGATTTTTTTTTTAAGCTGCCTGTTAAAGCAGTACATGCCTGTAATCCCAGCACTTGGGATACTGAGGCAAGACGATGAGAAGAGCTTGAGGCCAACCTGAACTCAATAGGCTGAAAAGCAGCCTGGGCTAACAAGACATTATCTCCATACATAAAGGCAAGCACACAGAAGTTAGGTCTTTCTGACTTAGTGTCCAAGTATTTCAGATCACATGCTCAGGGTCTCAGGCAGAGACTCAGCCCAGTTACAGCTCTGGTATTTTGTGTGTTCGTATATGTATAGAACCTTCTGTTCCTCTAAAATACAGGTCCTTTAATAGATTTTACTCTGGCATCTTTGGGGAAAATATTGTTGTTATTTGCCTCTTCTTCTGGAGTTCTAAAGTAAGAGAATTTGAAGTTTTCTTCCCTTTTAACCTGGAAGAGAACTTGAGAATTTAGAGACACAATGCCCTTGAGTATTTCAATGCTAGAAGCAAATTTGGTCTAAAAGTTCATTTCTAAAGGAAAAGGGTCTAGTTTTTCCCCCTGGATACTGTAAGAAAGAAAATTATTCCAAAATTAACTTTTCTGCTCTTCTTAATTCAAGAATAGCAATTAGGCAAGAAAGATGGCTCAGTGATTAAGGGCCTATACTGTTCTTTTTTTTCTTTCTATTCACTTTACATCCTTGTTGTAACTCCATCTCTCCTCCCCTCCCACTTCCCTGGGTGTGAGTTGCCATGTGAGAGCTGGGACTCAAACTCAGGTCCTCTAGAAAAGCAACCAGTACTTTTAACCACTGAGCCACCTCTCCAGTCCCTCAAAAACCAAAGTTTTAAACATTTTCTCCAACTACTTAACTGAACACACTTCTTTGGGGCTGGGATGGGGCTCAGTGGTAGGGTGCTTGCTGGACATGTGAAAGGCCTGGAGTTCAGTCACCACTAACAAGCAAAAGTACCCAGACCCCAGACTTAACACACGCATTGGAGACATTTTAGAAAATCCCAACATACAGAGATGTTTTAAATCACCTACCGTTTCTCTGAGAGATCACATTTCCCCAGAGGTGATTTTCAGTAGCCAGCACTTTGGGCCTTTGGTTATAGATGAGAAAATGAAACCGACTTTAGTATCTATTAAATTACATGGTGGCTGCTTCCCATGATTTCACTGTGTAAGGTCTGATATTTCTGTCCTTTTTATACTTTGCTGCATTTGCTACAAACAAGTTTCCCAACATTTAACCTGACTCACGAGGGTAAAGTTTGAGCTCATTATTTCCTATTTTTCCCGGGCCTTAAGCTATTCTTCCACATAGTGGACGTTTGTCTGCGTCCTGAGGGAACAGGCGTCCTACGTCGTTCACATGACTGCCGCGTGGCAGAGCCTGTGTTCTGAGGAGGCTGTGGTAGAGGGAGAAACTGCTGACAGTGCTGAGGGAAGCCGCTGGGAACTCAGGCCCTCAGTTAGCCGCGGGGCCAGACACACACTCACACTCTCACACTCTCACATTCTCACTCATACTTACACACACACACTCACACACTCTAAAGCCTGGGAGAAATGAAAACAACTTTAATTCGTGCTTTCAAAGCTTGTGCAGGAAGTAAGCGTGGCAGAAGGCATGCAAACAGTGCTGTTCCTAGTGAGTTCCTTATCTCTAAAATCCCTCTCTGTCGAGTGTCAACAGAGACAGGAAAGAGAATCACCGCCTTAGATGTCTCGGCAGCAGAAGATGAGTACTTTTCACTTACTGGATGGAATTTTATTTCTTCTTATTTTTGCTGTCATTATATGTCTGCTTTTACTCTACATATTACATTTGGAATTTTAAGCCCTTTGTAAAGATGTCAGTCATCTTTGAAAATCTAAATGTATGTAAACTTAATCAAAATTATACAGGATGGATTTACAATCCCACAAAGATGGCCTAATTTCTCAACGAGTCAGCCTATATTTTTATTTTATTGTGTCTTGACTCTGTGTGTGTGTGTTTGTGCATGTGAGGCCACCCGTGCACATGAGTGTGGAAGTCAGAGTCAGTTCCGTCTCTACAGCACGTGGGTCCCAAAGATAAAACTCAGGTTATCCAGCTGGAGGGGTAGCTCAGTGGTTAAGAACACTGGCTGTTCTTCCAAAGAACCCAGGTTCAAATCCCAACACCCACATGGCCGCTCACTGCCTGTGCCTCCAGTTCCAGGGGATCTGACTCCCTCACAGAGCCTACATGGAAGCAAAGCACCAATGTAAACTAAAAGAATAAAGTAAAATCATTTTTAATGGTCCCCAGTAAGCACTAGAAGGTGGCGTACGCCTGTAATCCCAGCACTCAGGAGGCAGTGGCAGGCGGATCTCTGTGAGTTTGAGGCCAGCCTGGTCTACAAAGCGAGTTCAGGACAGCGAAGGCTACACAGAGAAACCCTGTCTGGAAAAGAGAGGAAAAACAAAAACCTCATGTTCTCAGTAGTAGTACTCTTTGCAGCTGAGCCATCTTAACAGCCCAAGAAACAGCCAATACTTTTAGGTTTTATAAAATCTTGGATTGATTCTTCTAGAAGAAAATGATCTAGTGAAAGCCTATAAATATGAATTATTATTAGAATATAGTGGTTGGTATAAATTAGTCAAACATTCAATTTAGCCACACTTGTTACAAGTTTTTGCTGTTTGTTCTTTTGGTTTTTCAAGACAGGGTTTCTCTGTGTAGCCTTGGCTGTCCTGGAACTCATTATGTAGACCAGGCTGGCCCCAAACTCAGAGATCTTCCACCTCTGCGTTCCCTGAGTGCTGGATTACAGGCGTGTGTCACCGAACCCAGTGTTATTACAAGGCTTTGTTTAATGACGGTTTTACTGATTACAAATGATGAAGTATACTTTTTCTAACAACAACAAAAAAAGTTAATGATCTCTCTCTCTCTCTCTCTCTCTCTCTCTCTCTCTCCCCCTCTCCCTCCTTCTCTCTCCGACCCCTCTACCCCACTTCTCTACCCACTCCCTCTACTTCACTGCTTCCAGCTATCCCAATAGAAACTGCCAAGCAAAACCCTAATGTGGCTTTGGTCCTCACTTCTTATGGAGGTCACATTGGTTTTCTGGAGGGAATCTGGCCTAGGCAATGCACTTATATGGACCGAGTCTTCAAGCAATTTGTGCAGGCCATGGTTGAACATGGCCACGAACTCTCCAGCATGTAATTCCCTGGGTGCATTGAGTCTGAGCCACCACTGTTATGGCAGCTTCGTGCACAGACTTTAGCCACTGTGTGTAAAGCTGGGAAGCCAGCAGGCGGGTGAAGAGGTCCAGAATGACATACAAAAACTTCTTAGGGAAGCAAAACAACTTTGTAGCGAGAAACTAAAGATAGTTTAGATCATTATTGTTGTAGATCTTATTTTTACTATGCCTTACCAAGTATGACCTTACAATTAAGTAGTCCTATGGAACAGATTTGCACTTAACCAAAACTATTGTGTAAAAAAAAAATTTAATTCCTCAGGGTTTTAATTTAGGCTAGTATTTTTAGATTACTCAGTTCAGGTGATTTAATAGTACTTTAATAACTGATAAGAGATTTTGATGATTTGAATGTAAGTTCTAAGAGGGGCTTTCATGATAACAAGAAACTGAAAAAGAATCAATTACAATGTGCTAAGTGTTCTGACTTTAAATGGCAAATGCAACAATGTTAAACTGACTTCGATACTTGCTCTTTACTCTAACAAAATTAAATTAGGGCTGATTTATGTTTTATAATTATTGTCATTTACATGCTTATTTTTAAAATAGCTTATGTGCATATGTATATCATATTAAATTAAATTCTATCATTTTACATTGTTTCTTTGTGAGTTTTTTAAAAATATTTTATTTATTATGTATACATTGTTCTATCTGGATGTACACCTTCACGCCAGAAGAAGACATCAGATCTTATTATAGATGGTTGTGAGCCACCATGTGGTTGCTGGGAATTGAACCCAGGACCTCTGCAAAGGCAGCCAGTGCTCTTAACCTCTGAGCCATCTCTCCAGCCCCTCTTTGTGGGTTTTTAATCTGTTGGGTATGATGGCATTCAGCTTTAATCTCAGCACTTAGGAGCCACAGGCAGGAGGATTGCAGTGAGTCTGAAGCCAGCCTAGATGATAATAAGCTCCAGTGAGCCAGGGCTAAACAGTGCGACCCAGAGCATAACATGTGATAAATGTACTAATAACAATGTCAGGGATGTATTATCAAGAAACTTTTGCTCCACTACTTGCAAAATATAGGCTGACACATATACTACTTAAGAATATTTTCAAGATTTAGGGATATAGATCAATTTAGGAATATAGGTTGCTAGCCTACCTTGCAGAGAGCCTTGACTTAATCAGCAAAACGACATAAAGTGTTATCATGTGGCCGAGCACACAGCCGGTGGTCCCAGCATGTCAGCTTGAGCTTCAAGAAGCTGTTGTAATATAGAGTACATGCTATGTCCTAGGCCCTGAACCTGATCCCCCAATACAACAGGAAAAAAGTCATTTTGTATTCCTTGGCAAGTTGCCTTTTGTAGAAGTCATACCATACCATTCCTGTGAGCCCAACAGCGGTGCCTGTGGCCACCATTCTTACCTGTTGGTGTACTCTTTTCAAACTCATTTATATTTCTTATATCTCTTTGTCCCTACTCCACCCCAATCTAACACCCCAACACCAGGTAAGAGACAGAAAGGGTTAGTGGGAGAGGGGGCACAGTCCTCTTAGCTAATTACTGCTGGTTGGGGTCATCGGGGTCCTTGGAGCCAGTCCAATCCTCCTTTCAGGAGGTCTCCAACTTGTCTCACTGCATCAGCAGCAACAGGAGCTGCAGCGGGGAAGCAGCAGCAGCCTTGTTCTCTCTTAGAATTCCTCAACACGCTCTGGGCTCTGGTATTTACTCTCTCTCCAGAGTCCTCAGATTTAAGCTATCTGTAGTTGGCAAAGAGCTCCTCTCAGAGCCCACACGAGGCAAAGAGTCTGCTGCTGTGGACCATCTGAATCAGTCCCACATCCCACACCTGGGATTAAAACAAAAACGTGTTTGTATCCACAACACTTACCAAAACTGTTTTTGTTTTGTTTTTTGAGTTTGTCTGTTTTGCCCTGGCTGACCTGGAACTTCCTATGTAAGTCAGGCTGGCCTCCAACTTATGGAGATCCACCTGTCTCTTACTCCCAAGGCTGGATTAATGGTGTGTGCCACCAAGACTGGTTCCAAAACTGGATGTTTTTATTTCTGATACATGTCTCATTATGTAGCCTATGCTGACCCAGAACTCTCAGACCCCAGCTTCAGTTTCCTTAATAGCTGGCAGACAAAGTTGTAACCATGCCCGATTTCTGTGTGTGTGTGTTTTCTGCTGAGACACGGTTTCTCTGTGTATCCTTGACTGTCCTGAACTCACTTTGTAGACCAGACTGGTCTTGAGTTCACTGAGATTTGCCTGCCTCTGCCTCCCTGAGTGCCAGAGTTACAGGCATGCACCATTGCTCCTGGCTCAGGCCTAATTTTATATGAATATAATGTATTTTGATCAAATAGATCCCCACTTCTTCCCTCCAATTCTTTCCATACCCGTTCCTGCCTTTTTTTCTCCCTCCTAACCTCAAGCGTTCTTTTTAAAATTAAGTGAATCCACTTAGTGTAAGGCCATCAGCGGCAACATGGGCGCCTGTCAGGCGATGCATCCAAAAAAAATGAACTCCTCCCCGGTAGCCACTGGCTGCCAATGGTGCCTGTATTCCCATGTCTCAGGGACACGTCATCATGTGGTAGAAGGACTGTGAGAACTAATGGGAGTGGAGGAGTGGGCAAAACACTGTGCAGCAGTGCGCAGCCAAGGAAGGCACTTGCCCTGACTGGGACCAGTGGAGACATGAGAACAAGGTTAACACAGAGACAGAAGGCCCGGAGTCATGCGGACTACAACCTCTCATGGGAAAGCCACAGTGTCCTGGAAGCCCAGCATGTTTATTAAAGAGCCGAAAAACAAGCCGGGGTTAGTATAGAGGAATAAAGAGGCCGGGTTTGTGGTGTACAGCTGGATCACAGAAATAGGTTCAGCTCCTCTAGACAGGAGCAGTCTTCAAGCATAAACATGGGGCAGGGAAAACTATGGTGGACGCTGTCTGCACACACTGTCCACACTCAGACACACCCCCCCCCCGCCAGGAAGGCTTTGCCATCTTCCTCTGATCCTAACCCTGAGCTGGGGCAGGGGACAAGAGTGGGGCAGGGAGCATTGCTATTTCCCTCCAGGTGTGAGGCTAGGATCCGTGGCACTGTAGTGCCCACGCCAACGGCACACATTCCTCGGGACCTCATGCGCTCGGGGCAGTCAAAATTCCGCTGTGGATAAGGGAGGGGCCGTGAAGTCCTCCTCCTGGCTGAGAAGACGGTTTGTATTGCATTCGTATCTGGGGACCGTGTGTGAGTGCCATGGTGCTTGTGGTAAGGTCACAGACAACTGAGTCAGTTCTCTGTGGGCCACAGAAGACTTGTCCAAACTAAAGGTTGAGATTTGGGGTGTTTGGCCCTTATGATGATATAAAAAGACATCTAAGGGATATTAGGGTGAAAAGAAAAGCAGGATACAAACCTGTGTGTGCAAAGGTCAAAACTGTGCGCAATGAAATCCCACAGAGGTCACAGAAACATTCGGCACACTAGTTTGTTCTGGGGAGGCAATGTGCAGCAGGAGACAGGTGGAAAATCTGTCTTTCCAACTCTGCTGTGTGTGTGGCTTTGCAGGTAAAGGGGCTTCCTGCCAAGTTAAAAACCTAGAACCAGCCCAGCAGAAGGAACGAACAGACTGCTGAAAAAGCTGTCATCTGACCTCCACACATGCTCCATGGCACACGTGTGCTCACACCCATGCACACAAATAAACAAGTAATAAGAGTTTGCTAAGACACAGTCATTGTCTGTTGTTAAAATACAAAGACAAATTCAAGGGACGTAAGAAACATGACAAGCAGAGGTGGAAGACTGTGAGAAATCCAAGATAATGATATTCAAATGCGAGTTAATCACCCGTGAATAAAATGTGAGAAATTCAAATGAACGTGAATGCTTTATAGTATTGCCAAGCAGTGTAATGCAGACTCCTTAGTATGTAGACAAATTACAAACTAATTTACATTATCTTGTCAGATGGGATTTATGCCTATAATCTCAGCATTTGGGAGGCTATGACAGGAGGATAGCCATGAGTTCCAGGCCAGCCTGGGCTATACAACAAAGTTCTGTCTGAAAAACAAAACAAAAACAACTAAAGAAACACACACGCACAAACCGGTACTTTCATCTGGGTGTGACAGGGTACACACCTGTGATCCCAAACATGAAACATCTCCGAACCAAAAAAGGAGGATCCTCTGTTTCAGCTTGAGCTATATCATCTGCCTATAACATCTCATCAGAACTTACAGAACGGTGGGTCTTGAATGAGATGAAGAACCAGCATAATGGCTCAGCAGCTTAAGGCCACCAAGTCTAACAACCTGAATTTTACCCGAAAGATATAAAGTTAGTGACATGGTGCCTGGCAGATTTTAGCAGTACTTACTAAGGTAGAAAACCAGAATACCTCATAATTCTGCCCTGTTCTCCTGAACTAGACATTAGTATTATAAATTCACTTAGATGGAATTCTGTGCAAATAATCTACCCATCCTTAAGAAGAATAATTCGCCAGGGCATAGTAGCATGCACTGGCAAGCACAGCACCTGCAAGGTTTGAGAAGGAGGAACTTGAATTTGAGGCCAGCCTCGGCTATGTAGTGAGACTTCACCTCCAAAAATCAAAAAGCCCGTTGGGCTGGAGAGACAGCTCAGAAATCCTATTTTTGTTTGTTTGATTGATTTTTTTTTTTTCAAGACAGGGTTTCCATGTGTAGCCTTGGCTGTCCTAGACTCACTTTGTAGACCAGGCTGGCCTCGAACTCACAGAGATCCGCCTGCCTCTGCCTCCTAGAGTACTGGGATCAAAAGGCGGGCACCACTGTGCCCAACTGCTTTAAGGCTAAATCTTTAAAAGTGAAAAATTTAAAACCAAAGACCATGCACGAGATGACCCTCACCTGGTGCATGACCTCCCCCACCCCGCCCCTGGCCACATGGGGCAAGCAGAGAGCTGCCCCTGCCCTTTGCCTGCTGGCTGCAGCATTGGGTGAGGGCAGGCTGGAGAGCTGGCCCTGGTGGTGTGGGTTCAGGAGAGCTATCAGGCTGTCAGCTGTCAGGTTTCTCTGTGTGGCCTTGGCTGTCCTGGAACTCACTCTGTAGACCTGGCTGGCCTCAAACTCACAAAGACCTGGCTGCCTCTGCCTCCCGAGGGCTGGGATTAAAGGTGTGGGCCACCACCACCAGGAGATTTTTTTTCTCTTGGGGTGGGGAGGTTTCAAGAGTGGAGAGGAGATAGAAAGGGACAGGGAGATGAGTGGGAATTGGGTGCATGATGTGAAATTCACAAAGAATCAATAAACAGTTAAAACTTTAAAACCCAGCTGACGTCTGTGTCCAAGATTCCTCATGGTGTACGCAGCCCTGAGTCTGCGCCTGCGCCGCTGTTCACCGTACACCCTTGCCTTCTGGGTTCGAGGCGCATGCTGCTGGCTGACCAGGGCCAGAGCTGGAAGGAGGAGGTGGTTACCAAAGATACCTGGATGCGAGGCTTGCTCAAGCCCACCTGTCTGCATGGGCAGCTCCCCAAGTTTAAGGATGGAGCCTCACCCTGTACCAAGCTCTTGCCATCTTGAGGCACCTGGGCCGATCCTTCGGGCTTTATGGGAAAGATCAGGAGGCCGCCCTGG